GGGGGTGCGGGGATGTCGGTTTAGAAGGTAAGCTTGTTTTGGCTGGTTTATAACACAAGAGCAGAAGGATGTTAAATTGAGTTTTGAGGTTGCTGTACTTTAAGTATCACTGCTCCGGGCTTAAGTAACTGTGTAGTGTCCCTGCAGGGTGATGGAAGAAGAAGACGGGAGATTGGGAGCAGTAGGGTGACTCTGGGCAGGGAGGACGCTCAGGGCTGTAGTGGAGGGTAGCGTTAGAAGGAAAGCGTTTGGCAGGAGATGATTGCAGGATCTCAGATTTAAGTAATCCTAAATGTTTTTGGGCTATCAGGATCTCGGTTTGCTCTGATATTTCTAGCATTTACTCTGAGGTATATGATTTTCTCCAGTACGGCAACTGGCTTAACTTCTTGGACTGGCATTGCTCGCGTACGCGGACAGCATAGTCCCACCGTCTGTGTTAAAGGTGTAAGGCATTTATAACTCATGTCCTCAGTAATTAAGAAGTTATTAGTAGTAATAGTGTGATCATGTTAAGAACAAATCTACTAAGAGCTATTGAGATGAGTAGGAAATGCCCTGCTGTTTTCCAGTAGGGGATTTTTCTAGGCCTATGTCATTGTGACAAGTATAGCTGTTTTGAGTCTTTCCTGGAAGAACTTTTTAGGAACTGATACATACAGCAGTCAGTTCTACAGTATTTTGAATTTTGTCTTTGCTCTTACCAGAAACTTTTGGTGAAGTTCAGTGTTGCTCATGTCCTGTGCTTCATGTATCCGTAGGTTCACCTAAATAAGAAATTCCATTACTCTTAATTTAAAGTCAGTGTAATAAAACTGGATCTTCATTGTTTGAGAAACTTCAGGCTTCAACCAATTTAAATGGATTCATACTTCTTTAGGACAAGATCTTACCTTTAGTTTTACAGGTGGTGATCAAATAGCCTGATTCATCCATTTACCAAAACAGTTCTGCTTGTGGATTAAACAGTTTTGCATGTGTGTCAGTAACAGGGAAATTAAGCATGTAAAAGCCCCTCCATGTGACTGTGTAAAGTTGACTCCCTGAAACTTTCTAGCTAAAGTTACAAAAAAAGCCTAAGTTAAGATTTTAGTGTTGTAGTTTCTGTTTGTATAGACATTACATGCACCTGATTTTGTATGTTTCGAGACATTCCACTCTTTTTTTTTTTTTCCTTACAGGTTTTGTTCCACCTGAAATAATTAAATGGTTGAGACTGAAGATACTTACAGTTTCGTCTTGCGAATAATCAATACCACTATGGAGGCGTAGGCACCTTAGAAGGGACTTCAGTCCGAACTCTGGGAGGTAGTTCTGTGCACAAATAAAGAAACTAAGGCTTCAAAATTTTTTTTTATTCTGATGATTCTGTTTGCTTCTGTATTCCACAAAATGGCATACACAAAAAATTTAATCCAACAGTTTAAAGCATTAGAATGTCCCAACACAAGGCAATTAATTTATGTTAAATTTGATAACTCTATACTCATAACTAAGGCACCAGGGTAAAACTGAAATGCTCTGTTCACCCTGTGCTGACAATGTTACAGACAGAAAAGCCTCGGGCTATTCCAGGCTTGTTAATTAAGACAGTTCATCCTTGTCAGAGGCAGTCTGTAGGATTTGTTTATCTCACAGCTGAATATTCAATATATGTGAAGTTGAGTATAAGCAGACTTCTTCAGTCTCAACAACTATTACAACAATACACAGAAGTTAAGGGTTTTTTTTTGGAAGTCTAGTAGTAGCAAATATACCACATCAGTTCAGTAATGTCAGTTCAAGGGCTCTTTTTTCATATGCCTTTTGAGCTTGGTAAACCATTATTTTCAGTCTCCTAATGAGGTTTACAAACTAAACTCTTTATATATGTATAAGCTGCATATTTATCAGCTGTCTAGGGTGAAATAGTTCTTAAATTACTTAACATCTCTTCTAGTTAGAAATGTAATTTTAGTTGCCCCCCATTTTAGTTTCTTTATTGATAAAGGATTTTGCAAAACCATTTGAGGTTTTTCCCCTCCATATCCCACCTTCACTTGCCTGACAAATTGATGCTGCTCTCCCAGATATACAGTACAAGGAAAGCATGTGATGCCTCTATGATTCAAGGGAAAGTCCTTTTTGACATGCTTTCTTCAGTTGTCAAAATGGGATGGGGCAGCTTTTGCACTGAGAGCAGTTGTGTAAACAAACAAGAACTTCCCAAATGTTTAAAGGCTGTTAATCATGAGGCTAATTCTATTTACGTACATATTCAAAGTTACACATTAAAATATTTTGTTTTCAGGTTCTTACTTTTGTACAGGCAGGGGTTATTCCAAATTGCCTTTAATGCACACAACTACCTCCCAGAGGAAGACTTGTCCCATTCTTCCAAAAATAGTCCATTATGAATATAATGGAAAATAGCCCTTTCTTGGCTAGCATCATGAAGCAGAGTGCTTTCTGTGGTGAACTGAAGTATGACTTATCCTGTGAACTCTACAGAATGTCGACGTTTTCTACTTTCCCTGTTAATGTGCCAGTGTCAGAACGGAGTCTTGCCCGGGCTGGGTTTTATTACACTGGCGTGCAAGATAAAGTTAAGTGCTTCAGTTGTGGCTTAACATTGGACAACTGGCAACCAGGAGATAATGCTATGGAAAAACATAAACACCTGTATCCTAGCTGCAGTTTTGTTCAAAACATGCTTTCAGTTAACAACCTTGGACTGTCCTCTCGTTCTGCCTTTTCACCTTTGGCTGCAAACAATCTCTCACCATCTCTACATTCCATAACACTTTCTCCAAGTTTAGAACAAGTTGGATATTTCAGTGGCTCTTTTTCTAGTTTTCCTCAAGACCCAGTAACTACTAGGGCAGTTGAAGACCTGTCATTCTTGAGACCTAAACTTCACAATCCTTCTATGAGTACAGAAAATGCTAGACTACGCACTTTCCACTCATGGCCGCTGACATTTCTCTCACCCATTGATCTGGCAAAGGCTGGACTCTATTACTTGGGGACAGCAGACAAAGTTGCTTGTTTCACCTGTGGTGGTCAGCTGAGTAACTGGGAACCAAAAGATAATGCCATGTCAGAGCATCGGAGACACTTTCCTAGCTGCCCTTTTGTGGAAAACCTTACCCGAGACCAGCCAAATTTCAATGTTTCAAATGTGAGCATGCAAACCCATGAAGCACGTGTTAAAACATTCATAAACTGGCCAACTAGAATTCCAGTTCAGCCTGAACAGCTCGCGGATGCTGGCTTTTACTATGTAGGTAAGAAAAACTGATGTCTCTGGTTTTATTCATATTGCTGTGTCAGCATTTACTTTAAAGTAAATTGTATGGATGTTTGCTAGGTATTTTGCCTTGTTTTTTTTAAAGGCCGCAACGATGATGTGAAGTGTTTTTGCTGTGATGGTGGGTTAAGGTGCTGGGAATCTGGAGATGATCCATGGATTGAGCATGCAAAGTGGTTTCCCAGGTAACTTGCAAAATCTCTATCATATTACATTTTTTTTCATTTCATTTGGATGTATTTCATGCACCTCTGTTTAAAATCTCTGAAGTGCTAAGGTGGCCTTAATGAAAACATTTCTTAATTAAGCAGGATATTTAATGCTTTCCACTTCATAATTAAAAGCTGTGTGCATCCCCAAATCACTCTTAGCAAGTGAGGCTGCATTGTTAATGAGCATACTTATGTAAGAGAAGCAGTCAGAAAGCAGACTGAGGAGAGAAAAAGCTGCTGAGAAATGAAGTAGAAGGAACATCTAACTCCGTCAGTCTAGTTCTGTGCCCACACTGAATGCTCTTGAACCAGTTTTTCAGCAGGTGTGGTTTAGTTTCTTAGGTGTGGAAAGGCTTATGAAGAAGGCTTCAGCAGCTGTTTAGTATGTCTCTATTGGAAAAATGACAGCAATAACTTTTTAATGTCCCCCATAATTAAATGGCAGTTGCATACTTGCACTTAAATTTATGACAGAAATAGCTGCACTTAATTTCAGGAAAGCTAATAATAAGTCTTCACATTGTAGATCTCCAACTACCAGCTGCTGTTGGACTACATGATGTACATAGAGTTAAATGACACCTTTGTTTCCTTCTGTGTTATGCCTGTCAGTAAATACACTGAAGAGATATAACTCTGCATTATGAAGCAGATCTGGCTTTGATAGCAGTGCTGAATTTTGTTAACTTCTTTTGAATGATTTGAGTAGGAGATAAGAATGGCTAGATGTGAGATAGAAGCAGTTTATCGCTACACTTTGTAGTGGTGCTGACATGGTATCATTTCTCATGGCATGCCTTTTTGGTTATGAGTGGTATCAGAGTAAAAAGCTGCTGCACTTGTATACCTAGGCCTGCTGACTGCTGAGCATCATGGAAAAGCTTTATCAAAGTGTCACCAGACACTGGGCTATATCATCTTCCAATTAAGAGAACTCTTCCCTTCTGAAGGAAGAGAAACACATTATTTTTAGTTATGTTATTGTAAACTGTTTCATTCTTCTGTAATTGTTTTCCTTGGGCAATCAGAAAGTATAATTTAGTACACTTTTGTCAATGTTTCAGGTGTGAGTACCTGCTTCGTGTAAAAGGAGGAGACTTTGTAAGTCAAGTTCAGGCCAGGTTCCCTCATCTTCTTGAACAGGTAGACTTCACTATTCTGTGACTTTGTTTTTCCCTTGTTGAAGGGTGTTATGTTCTTTTTGTGAGTTGGGTCCGTCCTTCTGCCTCATATCTGCGTATATTTCTACTAGATTTCTAACACAGTAAATGCTCTTCAGGAGCACAGAAATGAAGCCGGTGCTGAACCATGGCTAATGGACTTGCCCTAGTGGACTTTAACCTGTGCAGATTGCTTACGGAAAATATTATGAGGTAGTGAGCTCCTTCATGTCAGGAGGGGGAATTTCTGATGATGTGAGTTTCATAAAATAACACAGATCAGTATTTCAAAAATTGTTATTTCGGAAATTAGCTGTAGACAGCTTGAATTTTTTCTATCCGTATTGCTTCTGACAAGAGTAAGCCCAGCTTCTCTTCATGAAAGTGGTCAGCACTAACTTTATATTGGTTATATAGTTGCACAAATTTGCAGACTTGTGTAACTGCATGTAAAATAGTTAGTGGGTACCATTCAGATAAAAAGCTTAGCATGGTTGATAAGGGAAAATGTTAGAAAGATATGTAGGGGAAAAGCAATACTTTGATACTAATGTAGTTTTCTTGTGTTCCACAGCTGTTGTCAACTTCTGATATGCCTGTAGATGAAAACATTGATCCTCCAAGTATGTATATTAAAGCATGTTTTTAAACTTCCTCAGCGCTTTGCAAGCTAAATGACTGCTTATCCAAAGCTAACTTCCTTAACAGTTCTTATATTTTCTTGGAAACAACAGTATTATAAGGGTTTCTTAACTAATGATAAAAGTTAAGGTATCTTCAGTGTTATATGGACAAACTTTGAGGAAGCACCTTTAAGAAATCTTGTATTTCATTTTCCTTGTTTTCATACTAGCAGTTCATATTAAGATTTTTGGGTTTGAATGCTTGACATCTGCTGTATCTGTGGCTTTTAGTTGTATGGTTGGGTTAAACAAAACAAGTCAATTTGCCATTTGTTAAATTGACCTATGGTATTGAACTTGGTGGAGCGGTTGTTAGAGGGTGCCATGACTGTGCAGTTATGCAGCTCCATTTGTAGGCACATAGCTAGGTAAATGCTCTGAGTTGAGCAGCAGGGGCTAAGGGAAGGATAGGACAAGCTGATAAAGTGAAGTCTTTGAGTTGGACTCCAGTTATGGTGGAAATAACCCCAGAGGTTGAGTGAGTTGTGCTATCGTAGTCTCTGCTGGTTGAGGACAGTGAGTCAGAATCCCACGTGCCTGGTGCTTAGTAAGTTGAATGGAAAATACTGATCAAGAGCTGGAATAGAGCAATTGTTTGTACTATAAACTCTGAATTTTGATTCTTCCTTCCCCCTCTGACATTTTTTCAAGGCTGAAGTTAGAAATGACTAAGCATTAAAAAAGCTGCTAAGGCCCAGTGGAATTCTCTGGTTTCTCTGGATTATCCTAGATCCTGAATTGAAGTTTATAATGGATTAAAACCAATTGAATTCAAGTAACTGGCTTCCATTTTTAAAACTAACTACTTAAAAAAAAGTCTATTTAGCCATTTAAACTTTTTAATGCTAGCTATTCTTGTATATATGCATGTGTGTAGGTAATGTTGATGTGCCTAGCTTCTGGGTTGTATAGATATTTTATTCTTTATATTATACACAGTGATTTTCTTCTTTGAATAGTTATTCATTTTGAACCTGGAGAGAGTCATTCAGAAGATGCAATCATGATGAACACACCAGTGGTTAAAGCTGCCTTGGAGATGGGATTCAGCAGAAGGCTCATAAAGCAAACAGTGCAAAGTAAAATCTTGGCCACTGGAGAAAACTACAAGACTGTTAATGATCTTGTGTCTGATCTGCTCACTGCTGAAGATGAGAAGAGGGAAGAAGAGAAAGAGAGGCAATTTGAAGAAGTGGCATCAGGTATGCGTAAGGCATGAATAAAAGTGAAAGCAGAAGTGGTTTGTATTATGTATAGTTTTTATAACTGTTTTTATTCACTAAGTGATTTAATGTAATTGCTATTAGGATCAGCTTCTGTAAAAGCATTGTCAGGGTATCTGTATGGAACTAGCAGTCTGGCCATTGTTTAGTTCCCTTTCCAGAGGATGGTTCATACAGGTGTGAAGGGTTCAGAGTCACCTGATTCCCTCCACAGGAAGAAAGCCATGTTTTTTTTAATTTCTGTGCATTTATATTGCTCTTAAAATAAATGGAACCAAAATACTGTAATCGGCACACTCATTTGTTTCCAGATTTGCCTGCTCTTTAAGCTACTTGAATCAGTGAGCCACCATATCCACCTCCTAGAGAGGTCATAAACTTTTACAAATTTAGATTCTGTAAGGTGGCCGAAGGTCTGCTTTTCTGTGTCTGACTCAGTCATGTAGGTCAGCTATTTAACAATGTTTATTTGATGGGTCTTTAACATTCTCTATTGTTTTAATACCATATAAGTTTCAAAGCTTTAAAACTACTACTTTTGCATCTGTAAAGGAGCAATGAAACTTCTCAATTATAAATTGAATTAAGACTGCTTCTTTCCTACTTGCACATTCTATCAAAAAAGCAGAGATGGGTTCAGTCATTAATGCTTAATGCAAATGATTTTTTGTTGTTGTTTGTGATAGACTATTTAAAAAAATAATCTCCCAAATCTGGTTGTGCTGTACATCTGGTTTCCTTGCACATAATTCTGTTGGACACGTCTTAGGAAAGCTTGATTCTGTGTGCATCTCAGCTATGATTTTGACTGACACTGACTAAAGTTAATCTGTTGGTTGTTGGGGAGTTGGTGTTGGTGTTATGCAGAAGCGTTGTGTTTTCTTTGCAGTTCTGTGGAGAATCTAAGTCTTGCTAGTGTGAAGCTAGACAAGATCCTCTCAGATACTTTAACCTAGAGATGTGAGCAGGACTTTTCATTGGCGAAAAGGCTTCATCTCAGAGGCTGATTATATGTGGTTTTCTTAAGTCTGCTCTTTATGTGAAACTTTACTGAAGTCTTTATTATTGTTGTGTAGAAAGTGAACATTTCAAGTAGAGTTTAAAGAATGTATAAATTGTTGTTAAACAGAAATGCAGCTTGGAGTAGTGTGTTCCTAACAAACATCTAATCCCTTTTGCATTCCAGATGATTTGTCCTTAATCCGGAAGAATCGAATGGCTTTATTCCAACGTTTAACATGTGTACTTCCAATCCTTGGGAGTTTACTATCAGCTAAAGTGATAACGGAACTTGAGCATGATGTTATTAAGCAAAAGACTCAGACACCATTGCAAGCAAGGGAACTGATAGATACAGTTCTAGTGAAAGGAAATGAAGCAGCTAGTATATTCAGAAGCTGTCTACGAGACTGTGACCCTGAACTGTACAAAGATTTATTTGGTATGTCTTTCTTTTTTTTTTTTTTTTTTTTTAAAGGATATAAGGTTATAGAAGTCTAACCAGTGCTGTCATAGCAACCTAAAGATAAAAAAATTGGATGCTGTTTGAATATAGATTAGTCAAATGACTGGGATTTCTTTTTTTCCTCTTATTTTAGTGGAGAAGAACATGAAGTATGTTCCCACAGAAGATGTTTCAGGTATCTTAAAGTCTGCCTTACTATTTTAAATGGTATTGTGGAACAAATAGCTAACATCGTAACAAAGAAAGTTACTTTGGTTAAGAAATAGATTTTTATGCTTTACCATCTCCCTAATTATGCTTTGTTGAGGTGAGCTTACCTGAAAAAGTTAACTGCATGTGCAGACTTGCAAGCAAGTCTGTCTGCTGTGAGCTATATCCTGTGCCTTATACATGCTTTTGCACCTAAGGAGGTAGAGCTTTCTGGGGCTTGAGAAATCGAGCACATGCTGGACTTGATCCTGGTACAAGCTCTCATTCAGGCATTTGGTAAAGACTGGACAGTAAATAGTGGGTTAGCATTTCACAGCAGGTATCATCATCTCTACTTTTCCCAAGTAGGTTATAGGTGTCCTTAGATCTAGCTTGACCAACAGCTAGGTAGATAAAAACTTGTAAGATGTGGGATTGAGTGTGCTCTGGTTCTTAGTCCTGTAGTTTAATATATTAATAGACCGCATAAAAGTATACAAGCCTGAATATAGCTCCCTTCCATCAGTCGGGCTGTGCTCTGTGCTTCTAATATCCAAGCAAGAAAAGTACAGCATTTGCTAAAATGTAAACATTGGTTAGTCTCAAGAACTACAGCTGGCCTGCAGTCCCTGAGCCATTTGTCTGACAGAACTGGAAAGTACACAGTAGTTCCTTGCATGCCACTTTTTGAGTTCTAGAAAATATACTTATTTTCTCACTGCCATGTATACTTAGTGAATACAGATAGGGAAATAAAGGGTGAAATGGAACATGACTGTATTCTAATTAGAATGCACGTATATTCAGGCTTCTTTAAAAGTTAAATAATTTTTCCAGGTTTACCTATGGAAGAACAATTAAGAAGATTGCAAGAGGAAAGAACATGTAAAGTTTGCATGGACAAAGAAGTTTCTATTGTTTTTATTCCATGTGGTCACTTAGTGGTATGCAAAGAATGTGCGCCATCCCTTAGAAAATGCCCTATTTGCAGGGGGACAATAAAGGGAACAGTTCGTACATTTCTTTCCTAAAGAGGGAAACTTGCAAAATGTCTTTGTTCCTGTCATCCTCCAGCTGCTGAAGCTTAAGCCAGCAGTGTTTTAGGAATGGAAAACTGTGGTACAGAAGTTGATTAATCAACTACCTAACACTGTTGTGTAACAGTAAACCATATCATCATTATGAATATACTAGGTCGTCTTTGCCAAAGGCCATTTCTTTTCTGTTCATAAAACTAACTCAGTACTGAGGTGAGGTTTTTGTAGCTTTCCTAAGGAAAGCAGTTTCACTGGTATGCCCTTCTGTCACTTTAAATAAAAAAGCTTTCTGGTTGCCTTCCTAAAATAGAGCTTGGCGAAACTCACAAGTTTCTTATATGTGGATGTGAGGAAATACATTGATTGCTGTTTATTAATATTAATTAACCTCAGCTGCTGTTTTGGTTGTGTTTTGGCTTTCGTGTGGACTTGAGGAGAAAAGAGGCTAACTGTTGCAGGAACAGCAGGACTTTTAAAAAGTTTTGTTCATGTCTAGATACTTGTGTAATGTGTATTAATAATAGTTTGTATGAAGACTGAATTAAAATATTTCTACTTCTCAAGTGAGTTCTTGTTTACTCTGTTCCCATTGTTGACTCTTCTCTGTGGACTGCAGTGACTAGAATCCTGTCTTTTCCTGACAAAAGTTTGGGGTTGGTTGTTTGCTTGCAAAAGTACAATAAAACTTAATTCTTTATCTTTCATTCATTTTTGAACAGGGAAGTGAGCTTCTGTGCTGCTTGGTGATTCAGGTGGTTCAGATTTTTATCCTTATTTAAAAACAAACAAACCTCCCCCAAAGCCCCCAGAAGCATCTGGTACTTCCTTCTGTCTTGATTTTTTCAAAGGACAGAAATTCTGTCCAGGAATGGTCCTCATGCCCTTAAAGGTGAGGCAGAGGGTAGCTATACAGCAGCTTTATGCTAGGGATTAACATGTACAAGCTGCCCTTCTGTGTTTGAAACTTTATAGTGACTGTGCAATTAGATAGTAGGATCTTCCAGCCCCCTCTGAAGTCTGCGGTCTTGTTTTCTAAGCTGGTAGTCTAAGGACTCCGGTTTCCTTACTGGTTCATTCTTACTTTACCCTTTTCAGCTTTGTATATGTAGACTTGCCTAGTAGATACCTACAGAGGGAAAGTGTTCATAGATATTTCTCAAGGAATTCATGTCAAACAGTGGAAGAACACTGCCAGGACAATAGCATCCTATCCTGCAGTGGTGGAGTCAGTCATCTTCAGTCATATCTTAATGCCTAGCGTGGACCTCTCAATCTTCAGACCTGCCAGCAATAAGAGCTTTTGAACAGTACTTTGCTGTCTTATGCTCTGTAGTGTGAGGTGAAAATACCATTTCTTGAAGTGCTAGTGTTAGCAAGTTGTGTACATGTAACTGGCTTTCATTGCTTCATATATGGTTCTTAGTTATACATGTTTTATCTCTTCTAAAAAGAGAACACTCCATATGTATGAAAGTAGTAAAGTGTATACATTAAAAAGAACTTGTGTGGGCTGTGTAACTTGTGACTTATCCCATGTAAAGGTTGCCCAGTGTTTAGAGCAAGGCTTGCATCAAGCTGGGGAAGTGTTTGTCACTGGCAAATAAATTTCCATTCATGCTTGGATGCTATATGTTTGGCATCTGTATGCATCTTTCCTGTTGTACATTTGAGTTGTAATTTAATAAAAGTCCCTCTCTAAGTCTGTGAAAGAAACCTCTGGGTCTCCTCTTGTAATCACCTGCCATCTTGGGAGATCTGTCCATTGAGTTTGGAATTTAGACTGTGCATGGAGTTAACAATATGTTATATTTCTAGCATAGTTGCAGCTGCAGCACTGAATCAAAGTTTTGTCTGGCTAAAAAGAGCCCAAACACGTACTTTTATTTGTTAGTTATGTGATTTAGGATGGTCTGTTAGCAGATTCTGGATGTTTCCATCAGTAGTACTGAGCACTAAATTTAGTGAGGAAAATTGTGCAAAGGAAGATACATATACATTCTAGTTACTGTCTGCTTGTCTTTGCCCTGTATCTCCAAGCAGTACCTCCTGGGCTGGAGTCCCTTTCAAAATAATACTGGAGATATGAACTTTGAAGAAGTCTTGCTTTGCTGTCTGGGGGCTTAGGGGAGGGGTGTAAGAATCTGGACTGGTTTGTCTTTAAACATCTTGAGTATGAATTCAGCAACAGTGGTATTTGGTTTCATCCATTCTTCCATAATTTCTGCCAGTGTGTTCAATGCTGTGCATTAGCTGGCACCACAGTTGTTTTAATCCTTCGGTATACATTCCTTGCAGTACATAGGATTCTGTAACTGTAGATTGGCTTGCTGTAATTCTTTTAAATGCAAAATTTTGTCCAATGTACATCTTTTCCCTTTATCTTGATGTTGTAAATGTTTCAAACCTAGCACATAGTTGTAAACAGCTTTGATTAACATTCTTTTGCTTTTCTGGTTTTGAAAGGTTTCTAAAGGTTCTCTTCTATTGTGTAGCAACTTAAAAAGTTGTCAAGGGTTATGAAAGCTTGTTAAGGAGTAAGCCACATGACTTGAAATTAGACACTCAGACCCAGAAATTAGTAATATTAGAAGCAAATATGTTTTCTAGAGATTAAGATGAGTCTGCTTGGGGGGGCTGGTGAGGTCGGGCTCACCTGAAGAGTGGATTTGTTAGCATGTAAGCCCTGTTTCTGAAGAGGGAAGAGGATAGGGAAAACCATAGAAGCAGGCAGACTCTTTAAGCAATGCATTTTTCTTTAGAACCACATGGAGTTCAAGTTTTTCAGACATTGCATATAGATTGGATGACACATGTAGGGCTTTAAAAACTGAGTGATTCAGGTGTTCAGCATCATTTGTGATGCCTGAGGGTACCTCAGGACCCACAACATACCTGTCAGTGCTTCAAATGTCTTGGGTAACTTCAAACAGCACTGCTTGCCTCCATCTAGGCACCTGAAGAACTTGATCTGGAAACTACTGGGTAAAATTCTTTGACCTAGTTTTGCCAGGAAGGCTAATCTAGGTTATGGCTTTCCCCTACTCCCCACTGTAATGATTGTGGTTACCCTGATCTATAATGCTGTACCTGTGAGCAGTTCTGCTCTCCTCAGTACTGTTCCAAGAAAGCAATAATAAAACTAGTTGTCCGTAGCATGTTCCAAACAGAACCCTAGCAACCTGTTAAACCATGGAGAAAGAAGACTGCCTGCATAGTGCTGTTTGGAGAGGATCAAGTGACTTGTTGCTTGTGAACCAGCTGACCACATTGACACTTTGTTCTGTGCTCACTTCCTTCTTTGAAAGCATTTTCCAGAGCTTTGACTGGGTTAAACAGCAGTAAACAGCTCCCCTGCCCCCAGCTTCCTGCGCAGCTCTGCTGATCAAGCAGCTCAAGCTCTCAGATGTCAGTGTTCCGCAGCCATGGCTTGTCTTGAGCTGGCAGAGTGTCTACGTGTGGCTTAGGGGGTGTAGAGGGTGGGAACTTTGGTATCATTGAAGTTCAGTGGGCTGACTTGCTGTAAGATGAAGATAGAAGGCAATATTCCCACCTTCTAAAAATGAGTAGTTTCTTTAGTTGAATGAAGCTTATCATATCTGCAGAGGATCTGGCTTGGAGTAGTGGCAGTTTCTGATACTGGTTTGAGATCACTGCAAGATACAGTGGCTTCCCAAGTAGCAGCTGTATGTTTTGTGAATCAAGTGCCATGAAGCTTTATTATAATTACTTAGCAGTTTCATGCATGTTTTTTTTGTGTGTGTTCTTTTTTTTTTTTTTAACTGAAAAAATATATTTATCTTCTGTCAGTTCTTGTGAGCATTGACCAGGAGGCGCAGCGCTCTTCACACTGAAGACAGCATGCAGTCCTAGTGTCCACAAGTGATCAGACTGCCACCAGTCATTACAACACAGCACTGCTCTTATATGCTGAAATGAATGGCCATATATGAACCATCCAGGAAGTCTACTAGCATAATATAAAAGAAAAATCTTTATGTTGCTGCTTTTTGTGACTGAGTTACTGGTTGTTTAGTAACTCCATAGTGCCACACTCTCAGAACTTGGTTCTTTGCTCACAAGACATAAGAAGAGAAGGACATGAAACTAGAAATAGTGTATTGATCTGCCTTTAATTCTGCACTGTGGTAATTGTAGAGTAGTGAGGCTGGGGTATGCAGTGTCATGCTTAATGTTGCAGATGGATAAAACTTGCAAACTCAGTATTCATGCTGTTAGCTATTCATGAAGTGACCCACCTCGAGTATGTGAATTCAGGCAGGAGATGCATTCTGGAAATGAAAAGGTATTCTGTGTTCTATTGAAGTATTTAACATGCAATTGTTGTCACTTTTGCTCCAGAAGTTGCTAGTGCAGGGAGTAAACTTCCTGAGACAATACTAAATCAGCAGTCCTTTGTTTCTGTTTTTATTTGAGCACGTGGTCACAGTGGTTAGTGATGCACCAGCCCAGCTTCCTCACTGATGGCTGCTGGCAAGGGAACCTTCAAGAGTCTGGGGCATTGTGTACATCCTGTGCAAGAGCAGAACTCCAAACAGCAGCTCCTCTTGTGCTGCTTTCAGAAAAGAAACAGGTGAATTATTTTTTTCTCTTTGAAGAGATCAAAATATTCTAGAAAGTAGCAGGAAATTGTTTGCACAGTAGGCAATGTCCTTCACGTTTAGTTTTGGCCTGGTGAAATTGTTTTGGGGGGAAAAGCTGGAGAACTTGCCAAAGGTTTCCACGTTCACATGTTACAAGGTGTAAACTTGGCCAGAACAAAGATCTCTTTCTTTTGGATCTGTATAGCTTGACTTACTGATGCTCTATTCTTTTGGCAGACAGAAGTGAAATGCTTGGTACTTGTGGAGTACAAGATACTAGTGAGGGTTGGGATTTGCCCAATGGAAGATAGCTCCAATTCTAAGGGAGGAATAAAGCCTTTAGGAAAGATTAAGTCATATATGCAACAATCAAAAGAAGAAGGCACCCCCTTTGACACTCATTGCTTTTCTTATAACCCATCAAGGATACTGCGTTACACAGTTTTTCTTCTAGCACTTTAGAGGCACCCATCCCAGGTGCAACACCTTGGGTTCCAAACTGCTTTAAACTTGATGTCGAGAAGGTCAGAACAAACACTAGACAAACTCAAAATTTTGAGTATCAGAGTGAGAATATAGTTCCTCTTGGTATTCTAAAAGGACCCTGAAGAGCCTCCAGA